TCCAACACCATCACCAAGTTTATGGAACTCTAAGAATACCAGATCCAACACAAACACCAAGTCTATGGAACCCTAAGGATACCAGATCTAACACCACCACCAAGTCTATGGAACCCTAAGGATGCCAGATCCAGCAGCACCACTAAGTCTATGGAACCCCAAGAATACCAGATCTAACACAACCACTAAGTCTATAGAACTCTAAGGAAACCAGATCCAACACCACCATCAAGTCTATGGAAACCCAAGGATACTGGATCCAACACCACCATCAAGTCTATGGAAACTCAAGCATACTGGATCCAACACCAACACCAAGTCTATGGAATCCTAAGGTTACCAGATCCAACACCACCACCACTACAACAAAAAAGTCAGACAATCACATCTTCTAATACAAGGCTTCACGTGTTTAGCATGATGGCAGATCAAGTATTGAATAAAAGACATAAAAGTGAGCTGCTGTAACACCGAAAGGCACCAATAACCTCCTGAGACAAAATAATATAATAAGGTGCAGCGCTAAAATGATGTAAATCTCAATATAATAAAGTGTGATACAATGATGGGAAATGATCTTGATATCATATAAAGTGCAAGCAGTGCTTAATTCAAGTGACAATTAGCAGGGCAAATGCATAAAGTGACTACAGTGTAAATGCACATCCATCAAAGTGCAAATAGTGCCTATAAGGTGATAAAGTCCATATATCAATCACTGAATAAACACGAAGCTTCAAATATAAGTGATCCTTAGTGAGCCTTCCGGTGATAAATAAATAGCGGAATTACACACTCACCAGATGCGTAAAACCATCACACATTTGAGAATGATTATATCTCAGCGTATCAAGATCAAGTATTGTTTTTCTCAGTTTTATTAAAAAAAATTAATGTGTAACATTTTTATCATCTACTTTTTATTGTACAATTAAACATTTACAAAACATACCTAGATTTAAAATAAAAAAAGACCAGAACATTCAGCCTGTCTGTGGGCAGCCTATGCATATCGGATTAAACCACATGGTCCTGTCCCTGCTAGGAGAGGTCAAAGGGGGGGTGTGCCTCCAGAGCCTGCAGTCTGTGTAATCTGATATCTCCAGCCAGTCAGGTTTGTTTTACAGCACAGCTGACATACAGTATGTGCTCCAGGCAACTGTTGCTCCTATTTGCAGCCACCTGCTGGTTGACATTGGTAAACATGAAAGCTCACATGTACTATTTATATGCCAATTTCATGTTGATATGATTATAAAAAAAACGTATTTAAAAACATTTTAGGTTCTTAGCATAATAAATAGCTATCGAAATGCAACACATTCCTTTTAAGTTGGATGTTCCTCTGATTAATGGCTTCTCTGGTTACAGCTCATTACATACATGTTTGGCTTGTGACAAAACACATATTTTCTGAATGAGTAGAGGCAGTAAATGCCCCATTAAGAGATGCAGCAAATATGCTGCTGGCAGGCAAACTACAAAGTGTCTATTATGTGACAACTGCAGCCGGAGGACAATGGGGCACAGTGCCTGTGTGATCGCACTGTCACACTGACATGAAGTCCTGACCAGCAGAAGGATCAGCCCATCTACCGCCAGCCAGGCACACATAGCAAACGCCCACATTCTCCGAAAACAGCAACTTGACCAAAGGCCGCCAATCTCATTTCAGCTTGCTGTAGTCAGATGTGATTTTTGATTGGTTGCTAAGGTTTTTTAATAGCTTTACAGAACAAGATCATTCGTGTTGTTTACAAATATATGTTGCGCTCCTAAATACTTCTCAATAAATAATAATTAAATTATTACCATTAAATTAATTCAAATTATGATACAAATAACTACCGTATTTTTCGCTCCATAAGACGCACTTTTTTCCCCCCAAAAAAGGGGGGGGAAATGTCAGTGCGTCTTATGGAGCGAATATAGAGCGGCCGGTCCGGTATTTCCACCGCCGCCGTGCAGAATACCGGGTCGGCCGCTCAGCTCTGCAACAGGACCTTATGGAGAGGACTGCTGACCTTTGGGGAGGTGGGGAGCAGGTACCTGAATTGGACAGGTACCCGCTCTTACTTCTTTGTTCTTACCTGTTCCTCTATCCAGTGGCGTGCTGTCTTCCCGGCTTCTGTAGCGTGGGCACTGGGCATGACAGCCAGGTGCCAAGTGCGCATGCGCAAGAAGCGGTGCTTTTTGTGAATGGTAAGGCGGTACCTGGGACACATGACCGATCCCAGAATCCGCCGGACCAATCACAAAGCGCAAGTGCTTCTCGCTCATGCGCACTGGGCACCCGGCTGTCATGCCGAGCGTCATTACAGAAACCGGGAAGACAGCGCGCGGCTGGATCGAGGAACAGGTAAGATCAAACAAACTCTGTGGAAGTAAGAGCGGGTACCTGTCAAATTCAGGTACCCGCTCCCCACCTCCCCAAAGGTCAGCAGTCATCTCCTGTACTGTCCACAGTCTCTGGTCATCCCTGTGCTGTCCGCAGTCTCTGGTCATCCCTGTGCTGTCCGCAGTCTCTGGTCATCCCTGTGCTGTCCGCAGTCTCTGGTCATCCCTGTGCTGTCCGCAGTCTCTGGTCATCCCTGTGCTGTCCGCAGTCTCTGGTCATCCCTGTGCTGTCCGCAGTCTCTGGTCATCCCTGTGCTGTCCGCAGTCTCTGGTCATCCCTGTGCTGTCCGCAGTCTCTGGTCATCTCCTGTACTATGTCTGCAGTCCATTAGTTCAGAATTTTTTTTTTTTTCCTGTTTTCTGCCTCTAAAACCTAGGTGCGTCTTATGGTCAGGTGTGTCTTATGGAACGAAAAATACGGTAATAAAAGTGTATGAATACCCAAAAATATTTAAATAGATAATTTCAACTAATCAATCTCCTCCAAATAAATATCAAAATAATTCCACATGAAATACTCCTCTAAAAAAATTTTTTTACCAAGTGCTCATAAATCATCGTGTTGTGTTGCTGAAGAGGAGGACAGGCTGCATACAGCTCGTTGATTATTTCCACATACGCGACTATTATTTCCCCAGATATCGAGCTGAAAGTGAAGTTGCCTGCAGCAACGGGGGAAATTTTAATTTTCTAAGTTCTTCTAAACACTCTCTGAGCCATGCCTCCAAAAAGCATACACATGTGGAAACATGGAGCTGTGTGCAGCCTCTATATTGGGGGTGGGGCCAGACACAGCATGACTCCCAGTGACAGCTGATGATCAAATCAGGAAATCATCCGGTTTATTATGAAGATCAGATCATTTTCATATTAGCCGTTCTTTTCAGAAAGTGAATTAATATTGTCAAGGCTGGGCCGAGGGGTAGGCAGGAGAGGCGGCTGCCTTGGGAGCTTCATCAGGACGAGACCTGCAACCTATGCAGATGAAGTGGTTCACCGCTAATGGAAGTAGTGGTGGTGGTGGGGGGAGGGTGCCTTGCATGATGGTCATTTTACCCCAGGTACTAAAGGACCTTGTTCTGGCAGGAAAAATTCTGAATAGTCAGATTGCTGGAAATAACAGAAGAGTGTTCTGGCCTGGAGTTCTTCTTTATTTACTACAGAGATTTCTATAGCACCACTTCACATTTACATCAGTTCCTGCCCTCAAGGAGTTTACAGTATAGGGTCCCTATCTCATCTCATATACAGAGAGTGTCCACTTGGGGTTTGAACCCCAGTGCTGAGGTAAACATTAAGCCGCTTTGCTTCCGCTCCATGCACACTAGCTTTTTTTTTTTTTAAAGCGGAGTTCCACCCAAAAAGGGAAGTTCCACTTTAATGCCTTGTCCCCTGCTCCCCATTAAGGATTGGCACCTTTGGGGAGGGGGTACCCGAATTTGACAGGTACCCGCTCCCACTTCCGCTGCAATCGCCTAGGCGATTGGAAACAGAAGTTGTCCTCCTCCCCGTAGTCTTCTGTGACACGTGACAGGTCCCAGAAGACTATGGGGCCATTCACAAAGCGCAGCGCTTCTCGCGCATGCGCACTGGGTACCCGACTGTAAAGCCGCAAGCTGTCACAGCCAGGTGCCCACACTAAAGATCCTGGCGCCAGGGAGAGAAGACGGCCGGTGAAACCAGCAGTGGTGAGGACACCGCTGGACCAAGGTACAAGGGACTGTCAAATCATATGCCAAGTCGCACCCTATTGTTCGCAATTAGAGCGGTCAATACGGTGCAGTTTCAACTTGGTTGGAGCTGCACTGACTTCTAAAGTAGTACATGCACTACTTTTGGTGCGATTTGCATAGACATCTGTGTCAGATGTCTTGCAAATCGCACCTGAAATCGGCATGTCACCTGACTTGCGAATTCACTGTAAGTCGCATGATTTCAAAGTCGGGCTTGATGTGACTGGGGGGTTAGTCTACAATCGCCTGAGCTCCTACCTCATTGACAACAACCTTCTTGACCCTTTACAGTCTGGCTTTCCCTCACTACACTCCACTGAAACTGCCCTAATAAAACTCACTAATGGTCTACTAACTGCTAAAACCAATGGCCACTACTCCGTACTCTTACTACTTGACTTCTCTGCGGCTTTCGATATTGTTGACCATCCCCTCCTCCTTTAAAAAACTCCAGTCTCTTGGCCTCTGAGACTCTGCTCTCTCCTGGTTCTCCTCCTACCTATCTCAGCACTCCTTCAGCGTTACCTATAACTCTGTCTCCTCCTCTCCACTCCCTCTATCTGTAGGGGTCCCTCAAGGTTCCATCCTTGGACCCCTTCTCTTCTCCATCTACACCTCCTGCCTTGGTCACTTGATAAACTCCCATGGCTTCAAGTACCATCCCTATGCTGATGACAAACAAATCTATCTTTCTACTCCTCACCTCACCCCTTCAGTCTCCTCTCGCATTACTAACCTACTAAGTGACATATCGGCACTCCATTCCACTTCTTCAAACTCAATCTTTCCAAAACGGAGCTCATACTATTCCCTCCAGCTCGTGCCCCCTCCCCGACTTCTCCATCAAGATCAAAAATACAACCATCAGTCCCTCCCCTCATGTCAGGGTACAAGGTGTAATCCTAGACTCCCATCTGTCTTTTCAGCCCCAAATCCAATCGCTGTCCAACTCTTGTAGACTTCACCTCCGCAACATCTCCAAGATACAAAACCACTAAGCGACTTATTCACTCCCTGGTTATCTCTCTCCTTGATTATTGTAACTCACTCCTCATTGGCCGACCTCATCGAAGGCTATCCCCTCTTCATTCTATCATGAATGCTGCTGCCAGACTCATCCACCTTACTAACCATTCCATGTCTGCCATCCCTCTCTGCCAATCCCTCCACTGTCTCCATTCAGTGTCCTCCATCCCTCTTTGCCAATCCCTCCACAGGCCCCCATTCAGTGTCCTCCATCCCTCTCTGCCAATCCCTCCACTGGCCCCCATTCAGTGTTCTCCATCCCTCTCTGCCAATCCCTCCACTGGCCTCCATTCAGTGTGCTCCATCCCTCTCTGCCAATCCCTCCACTGGCCTCCACTCAGTGTCCTCCATCCCTCTCTGCCAATCCCTCCACTGGCTTTCCACTGCCCAACGAATAAGATTCAAAACATTAACAATAACATATAAAGCCATTTATACCTCTGCCCCAAATAACATCACCAATCTTGTTTCCAAATATCACCCAGTCTTCTCCACTCCTCCCATGACCTCCCGCTCTCTAACTCCCTTGTCTCCTCCTCCCATGCTTGTCTCCAAGACTTCTCCAGAGCCTCCCCCACCCTCTGGAACTCTCTACCCCAATCCGTCAGACTTTCGCCTACTCTACCCACTTTTGGGCGATCTCTGAAAACCTATCTCTACAGGGAAGCCTATCCTGCCTTCAGCTAATAACCGAATCTTATATTTCTCCTACCAGTCCATCCCCCACAGTTAGTACCTTTTGTACCACCAGCCCCTCCATGTTAGTGTGTAAGCTCCAAAGAGCAGGGCCCTCCTAACCCTCTTGTATTGAACTGTATTGTTGCTGTATTGTCTCCCTTTATATTGTAAAGCGCTGAGCAAACTGTTGGCGCTTTATAAATTCAGTATAATAGTAATAATGTAGTCTTCCCAGGGGGCATCTGTGTGGCTGGGGCTATGTTATCACTGCTTTGAGAGAAACCCAAGAGATGGAAACCAAAAAAGATAAGTAAAGCAAAGGAAATGTGAGGGGGGGGGGGGGGTAGTCCACTTTAACTTAGAAACATGACTAATGCAGTTGCTAAGGGCCCGTGTATCAGTGTATTGAACATCGCCCATTTTGGCTGACTGTGGCCTTTCTGGCTGTTCAGACTTTTGCACATGCAGCACAGACTGGTCTGTCTGTGTGTGCTTAACTGAAATGATAAATGTTTACCAAAGAACATACAGTCATGGCCAAAAATATTGGCACCCCTTCTACACCTCCTGAGGGTGCCAATAATTTTGTCCAGTCCACTTTTGGCCTTTTGCATGGAATGTGTCAGATTTGGCTTTTTGTTTCTCTACTTTTTTTGTGCCATACTAATACAAAGATATAAACATAAGAATGCCAAAACATTTGTAATTGCAACAATTTTTCTGGGCGAAGTGGTGCGTTATCTGACAGAAATGCAGGGGGGGGCGATATTTTTGGCCATGACTATGGAAAGTCTATGAAGATCTGCCTGAAGGTTTTGGTACAAAATGGTATGTCTCTTTTCCATCTCAGGAAGTCAGGGAGTGCGCAGTCGTTGAACACAATGACACAACCTCCGTTCTCCAATTTTGGTGATGGAATTGAAAACCCATATCTTGCAGAAAAAGCACAGGGCTGATGATAGAGAAGAATTCGGAGAAGTGTAAAGCAGAGTTCACAGTCGGTGGAGTTCACAGTCGGCTCACTTGTGATGAAGAAAGATTTATTACCTCTGCCACACTTACAAGCGTTCTTCAATTAACATCACAGTCTGGTCACTTAAGACATCCATCATACAGCCACACAAGCAGAACCGGAGACAACAGCGAAATGTCCTCATTATTCAGCACTAACGATAAATGACTGTGGCCACAAATTGTTTCCTACCTCTCTGTACAGGACCCTGCCAAGAATTAAATGAGATTAGAAAGGGATATTGGCTTAAAGCAGAGGTGTCAAACTCCATTTCATCACGGAACGCATCAGCATTATGGTTGCCCTCAAAGGGTCAGTTGTATCTGTAAGATTAGAATTGTAGATGCTGAGGGTGGAGCTGGAAAGCAGAAAGTTCAGGGTCTGGAGGAGGACCAGAGGACTGGAGTCAGCTGTGCTGAATGCGAAGACCAGGAGCGGCAGAGATGAGCGGCTGCTGTAGCTGCACAGAGAGGTGCAGGATCTGTAGAAGGAGTTCTGTTCTCCTCTCTGTTGCCAACTGCTGAGATGGTTTGGGGCAGAGAGGAGTCTCTCTGCAGATGGACAGAGAGGCGCAGGTACTGTAGGAGGAGTTCTGTCCTCCTCTCTTCTGCCAACTTCTGAGACAAGGTGGGGGCAGAGACGAGGGGGGGTGCCGGAGCTGCAGGAGAGGTGCGAGGGTCACATGAAATGGCCTGACGGGCCACATTCAGCCCTCGAGCCTTGTATTTGACACGTGGTTTAAAGTATTCTAAACCCATAACAGAAATTTAATATATTGCAGCGTAAAAGTCCTTAAATGTGGTGGCTGCATTACACACTTCCTATCCTATGGTGGCTACACTTACTCCTACCACTGTATTTTCTGGAGGAGTCCATGGTTGTCACCCAAGCTGGACTTCAAACATGTCTGCTCATCTCCACTTCATAGGGGGATGGGGGATTAGTAGTTTACACTGGATTGGACATGATTAGGAAAGGTATAAACCTGTCTATAGAAGGTCCCACAGTTAACAGTGCATGTCAGAACACAAACCAAGCCATGAAGTCCAAGGAATTGTCCATAGCCCTCCGAGACAGGATTGTATCAAGGCACAGATCTGGGGAAGGGTACAGAAACATTTCTTCAGCATTGAAGGTCCCAATGAGCACAGTGGCCTCCATCAACTGTAAATGGAAGAAGTTTGGAACCACCAAGAGTCTTCCTAGAGCGGGCCGTCTGGCCAAAATGAGTGATCGAGGGAGAAGGGACTTAACCAGGGAGGTAACCAAGCACCCGATGGTCATTCTGAAAGAGTTCCAGCGTTTCTCTGTGGAAAGAAGAGAACCTTCCAGAAAAACAACCATCTCTGCAGCACTCTACCAATCAGGCCTGTATGGTAGAGTGGGCAGACGGAAGCCACTCCTCAGTAAAAGGCAAATGGCAGCCCATCTGGAGTTTGCCAAAAGGCACCTGAGGGACTCTCACATCATGAGAAACAAAAATCTCTGGTCTGATGAAACAAAGATTGAACTCTTTGGCCTGAATGCCAAGCATCATGTCTGGAGGAAACCAGGCACTGCTCACCACCTGGCCAATACCATCCTTACAGTGAAGCATGGTGGTGGCAGCATTATGTTGTGGGGATGTTTTTCAGTGGCAGGAGCTGGGAGACTAGTCAGGATGGAAGGAAAGATGAATGCAGCAAAGTACAAAGACAACCTTGATGAAAACCTGTTCCAGAGCGCTCTGTACCTTCGACTGGGGTGACGGCTCATCTTTCAACAGGACAAAGACCCTAAGCACACAGCCCACATAACAAAGGAGTGGCTACGGGCCAACTCTGTGAATATCCTAGAGTGGCCCAGCCAGAGTCCAGACTTGAACCAGACTGAACATCTCTGGAGAGATCTGAAAATGACTGTGCACCGACCCTCCCCATCCAACCTGATGGAACTTGAGAGGTACTGCAAAGAAGAATGGGAGAAATTGCCCAAAAATAGGTGTGCCGAGCTTGTAGCATCATACTAAGAACGACTTGAGGCTGTAATTGGTGCTAAAGGGGCTTCAACAAAGTATTGAGCAAAGGCTGGGAATACTTATGTACATGGGGTTTTTTACTTTTAATAAATTGCAAATATTTCAAAAATGAACATCTTTCATGTTGTCATTATGGGGTATTGTTTGTAGAATGTTGAGGAAAAAAATGAATTGAATCCATTTTGGAAGAAGGCTGTAACATAACAAAATGTGACAAAAGTTAAGCGCTGGGAATACTTTCTGGATGCACTGTATATGCACTGTTGCCTTTATATATAGACTGTTTCATCTGCCATATGGCATTGAATGGCTTGGAAACATTCAGCTTGGATTTATACCCTTTGAATGCACCGAGGCGTGAGGGATATTATTTATGTTCATTACTCTAATCCTCCCCTGGATGACAGAAATTTGTGTCATTTTGGTTTTCTCTCCTGAACCACATCCATCTGAAAAGGCTCTGGTATCAGTTGGGATCCCATTATTATGCAGTCTCTATAGGAACATAGTTCACGAACATATCCGCATATACAGTAGTGAATGAGGATGTTCAATACAGAAATATCAATAATATAATACCTATATTCCTCCTCTGGACTACACACTGTGACTGTGTATGGAAACCCCTTTTATTTGTGCACCAAGCTGTATCTCCTAAGGGGCACTTTTCCAAGATGGATCCACCTAGATGAGTTGAATTGGCCAATTAATAAATCCATAATACATTTAACTGGACAGGCTGAATAGTGGTTAATGACTGTACAATCTATAATTCATCCACAAGATATATTGCATCCAAAAACCTTTTCTTGTGAATTGCCGGAGGTCCATTGAGATGTTTGGTTTTTTTTTAAACAAGTACTTTTGTATGTATATGTTTACTTTTGTATAATTAAAGACAGTATTTATGTAACGTTGACCATCTATTGATGATTCCTGTTGACGGATATCACAAAAACCCACAATGGCTGGTTGAGTCCATAGCTATTTTTTTCTTTTTTGGAGATATACAGCAGAATCTCTCCATCAGAGACACAGACAGAAATGAACACCTGTGGGGGGGGGGGTCTCTGACCTTCCCCTCCCTATTCAACACTTAAAGGAAATGGCTTTGGCAGGAGTTGTCCCTTAATCAGTAATTCTGGTAATGGCTGTGACGAGTCTCCTGTACGTACAATATTCAGGAATCTGCTGTTTTCTCTATGGAGCTCAGGCCCCAACTTCCATGAACTTTTCACTGGAGAGGCAGACGTATAAACTTACATCTGGTAAAATACTCCAACATGAATAGACTCTCTCAAGTCTGTGATGACTAATGCGGTGGCTCCGATGAGTCACCCGGGGATGTGTCACACTACAAATGGGTTAAAAAAACAAACAATATAAAATCATCTGCACTCCTGCGGTGCTGGACAGGGGGTGGAAGGTGCGGACCCAGACTTTGTTTATGCAGCGTTGGACACCAGCTCTGAACACGGAGGCACAATTCCCCAAATTACTCACCATCTGGACTTAAAGGACACACAATAAAATCTCCAACACAAGGGTGGCGGAGGGAGAAGTATATCTGCCACATTAAAGGCTCCCCATCCCATTCTGCCCAGTAGGGCCCTGTGAAGGTGAAGGCACCTGTAGCATCGGGCGAGGCCTATATGTCCTAATCAATCTACTTTGAAGCAATAATATATACTCCGAGGCTAAACTTCTGATTTCACAAAATGAGTATAATAAATTATTCATTAATACACTGTAACGGAACCGGACCCGGACTGCGCTAAGGTATTTCCGTTATATTCTCGCTTCCCTGTCCGAACATTATCCACGGACACCACCGCTGATCATACAGGATGAGACAGCACCAGACTCTACTTAAGACAGGAAGTCAACTGCTTTATTTTAACACAAACACAAGATATATATACACACAGGGCGGGGAAATACAACCAGGAACAGGAAACACATCACAGGCCATCCCATCAGGAGGGAAGGGCTGCCAGAAACACCCCCCACCAAACCAAGACACATAATAGAACAAGGGGATACAATAGGGGAACACATGCATCCCATAATAGTTTGCTAGAACAATGGGATGCAGCCGCATGGCAGAGGACAATGAACAACCTCCACACCAATATTAGAACATTTCACCCTGTACCCTAACAGGCACAGGGTGACTTAAACATAAGAGGAATTTGGGAAGATGATACAGGGGTCCCTCCACCCCCAAAAGTCATTCCCATCACATACGCTAACCAGCAGCAGCAGGAATTTACCCCAATTGCCATTTTGGTGTCTTTGGGGTTGATTTAAATAGACTGTGCGCCCTGCAAGAGCAGTTGCTCCAGAGGTTAGTAAATGAGGTAAAGCGTCACTTTGCGAGGAATGCCCAATCACATGCAAGGAAAATAAAAAAAAAACAGTATTTTTTCCATGCATGTGATTGGATGATGGAAGTCAGCAGGGCTTATGCACATTTACTAAGTTCTGGAGCAACTGCACTTGCTATTTGCCTTTAGCAAATCAACTCCTATGTGTACAAGGGTGTAGTTTGGACAATATAAAGACCAACACATATAATATATAATAATACATATATTTACTAAACATAGAGCCATTGTTCAATGGCCCATCTACAGCCTCTGGTTTATAGGCCAGACACAGTGTCCTTCACATCGTCACATGTTAATGTGTATGAAGTGTATGTTTGTATGTATGTATATGTACTGTAGGAATATGAGTGTATGTGCAGTATATGCATGTGTATGTATGTAAGTATTAAGGGGCGGACTGACAACTCATGGGGCCCCCTGGCAACAGGGGATCATGGGGCCCCTGTGTCCTTGCCCAAACTCAAAATAGCCTATGAAAAAGGTACCAGGGGCATCTCATGGGGCCCCCTACTGACCCCGGCCCTCGGGCAGTGCCCGAGTTTCCAAATGGTCAGTTCGCCCCTGTATGTATGCATGTATATGTCTGTGTATGTGCAGTACATGTATGTGTGTGTATGTATGTACAGTGAAGGAAATGCGTATTTGCTCCCCTGCTGATGTTGAATGTTTGCCCACTCACAAAGAAATGATCGGTCTAAAAAATCAAATGTTTGGTGTATTGTAACACTGAGAGACAGAATAGCAACAAAGAATTCAAAAGCAATGCGTCTAACAAATGATGACTGATCTGCATGTTCATGAGGGAAATAAATATTTGATGCCCTATCATTCAGCAGGATTTCTGGCTACCAGGTGTCTTTCATACAGGTAACAAGCTGAGGTTAGAAGCATTCTCTTAAAAGGGAGTCCTGCTAATCTCATTTTGTTACCTGTATAAAAGACACCTGTCCACAGGAGCAATCAAACCATCAGATTCCAAACTCTCCACCATGGCAAAGACCAAAGAGCTGTCCAAGGATGTCAGGGACAAGATGGTAGACCTACACAAGGCTGGACTGGGCTACCAAACTATGGCCAAGCAGCTTGGTGAGAAGGTAACAACAGTTTGTGCAATCATTTGCAAATGGAAGAAACACAAAACAACTGTCAGCCTCCCAAGGTCTGGTGCACCATGCAAGATCTCACCTCATGGAGTGTCAATGATCATGAGAACAGTGAGGACTACATGTAAGGATCTTGTTAATGATCTCCAGGCAGCTGGGACCACAGTCACCAAGAAAACAATTGGTAACACACTACGCCAAGGATTGAAAACCTGCAGCACCCGCAAGGTCCCTCTGCTCAGGAAAGCACATGTCCAGGCCCGTCTGATGTTTTCCACTGAACATCTGAATGATGCAGAGGAGGACTGGTTGAAAGTTTTGTGGTCAGATGAGACCAAATCGAGGTCTTTGGCATCAACTCAACTCGCCGTGTTTGGTGGAGGAGGAATGTTGCCTATGATCCCAAGAACACCATCCCAACTGTGAAACATTCTGCTTTGGGGGTGTTTTTCTGCTAAGGGGACAGGACAATTGCACCACATGAAAGGGACGATGGACGGGGCAATGTACCATCAAATCTTGGGAAAGAACCTTCTTCCCTCAGCCAGGGCATTGAAAATGGGTCGTGAATGGGTGTTCCAGCATGACAATGACCCAAAACACACGGCCAAGGCAACAAAGGAGTCGCTCAAGAAGAAGCACATTAAGGTCCTCGAGTGGCCTAGCCAGTCTCCAGACCTTAATCCGACTGAAAATCTGTGGAAGATGCTGAAAGTTCGAGTTGCCACGTCAGCCACCAAACCTTAATGACTTGGAGAGGATCTGCCAAGAGGAGTGGGCCAAAATCCCTCCTGAGATGTATGTAAACCTGGTGGCCAACTACAGGAAACGTCTGACCTCTGTGATTGCCAACAAGGGATTTGCCACCAAGTACTAAGTCATGTTTTGTGAAGGGGATCAAATACTTATTTTCCTCATGAACATGCAAATCAGTGCATCATTTGTTAGACATGCATTTCTTTAGAATTTTTTGTTGCTATTCTGTCTGTGAGTGTTACAATACACCGAACATTACATTTTTAGATGGATCCTTTCTTTGTGAGTGGGCAAACATTCAACATCAGCAGGGGATCAAATATGCATTTCCTTTACTGTATGTATGCCTGGATGTGTATGTATATGTATGTCTGTCTGTGTGTATGTATGTTTGTTTATGTATGTCTGTGTATGCATATTTATGTCTGCATGTGTATGTATTCCTGTCGGTGTGTATATGCACACTATATTAGCAGAAGTATTGGGCCGCCGGCCTTTCCACGCACATGAGCTTTAATGGCCCCCCAGTCTTAGTCCGTAGGGTTCAATATTGAGTTGGCCCGCCCTTTGCAGCTATAACAGCTTCCACTCTTCTGGGAAGGCCGTCCACAAGGTTTAGGAGGGTGTCTATGGGAATCTTTGACCATTCTTCCAGAAGCACATTTGTCAGGTCAGGCATTGATGTCGGATGAGAAGGCCTGGCTCGCAGTCTCCGCTCTAATTCATCCCAAAGGTGAGAATGGACACTGGAACCAGCCACTGTACAGGAGTGATGACGGGATTTCTAGGACAGACAATGAAATTGGGGGGAATGTCTTTTCCTGACCAATAAGATAAGCTTTCATGGCAAAGCTGACCTATTCTTGCCGTGATTGGATGGTGCTCAGATTCCAATCCAGCAGTGAAGAGCTCTAAAGCTGGCCTCACATGTGTAGAATTTTGTTAGTCCATTTGTTTGATTATCTAAAAGTTAAAGGGGACAATTCGCCAATTGGTTGTGACCAGTTCAAGCGGAGAAAACAGGAACAAATTTGTAATGGCTGAATTCGCTCCCGCTAAGAAAAATCGTACTTAGTTTACTGCATCTTTGACAAGGGAGACATTGATATGGTACTAGAATGAAAAGCTGTTCAAATTTAGATGAGTCCACGAAGGTTCCATCAAACGGTCAGACAAGCAATTTCTACATTTTCTCATCCAAACAATCAGAAATCCAAAGTAGCAGCTGTGGGGGTTAATTCCAGCACTGGACCTCTGATAGACACTCATCAACAGTGCCAACAATGCCCAAACCTTTCCACCCTCTCCTCCATTCATAGAAGCTGTACTATAGCTTCCATGGAGGATCTATGAATGGAGGCAGGCCTTTCATGCATCTGCCCGTCTTCCATTCATAAACTGCTTTTTATTCATGGAAGCTTTAATACAGCTTCTATGAATGCAGTGGGGGGGGGGGGCAGGCACAGTCAGCACTCTTAAAGTATATGTAAACCCTCACCTTGCAAAACAACCCAATCAGTTTAAAATAGATTTGCAAGACAAAAATGATCATGTAACCTCTGTTCTCAGCTGCATAAGGGGCTTAGAGAAACAGGGGTGGAGACTAAGGGGGTGGGGGGGTCAGCAGGAGGCAAAGAAACAGCAGTACACTGATTTCCAATGAAGAGCTGTGAAGGGGGGGGGTGGGGCATGTCAGCACAAGTCTGACTATTTGAGTACAGACAGTCTGTGCTCCCAAGTAGGATGCAAAGAATAAAACTGACCACACTGGGGTGGATGTGCTTATATTCTCTGGTGTGGTCAGTTTGAAATAAGAAAGCAGGGTGATGGTAGGAACACCAGGGATTGCCCACAAAGGAAGAAATACAAATAGAATAGGATACTTTTCAATACAAGTGCATGTAAAGCAGGCACATATCAGGAATATGAAATGTTAGGTTAAGATACTCTTAAATGAGTACCTGTCGCAGTTCAGCGCTGCTATTAACCCCCGCAGCACCAGACAATTACAACTGTGGCTCATGGCAGAGGACTCTGGATTTATTTATTACAGGTACTTACATTTACGTATAATTTACGCAGTGCTTTACATCAGGGGCGGGCTGACCATTTGGAAACTCGGGCACTGCCCGAGGGCCCAGGATCAGTAGGGGGCCCCATGAGATGCCCTTGCTACCTTTTCATAGGCTTTTTTGAGTTTGGGCAAGGACACAGGGGCCCCATGATGCCCTATTGCCCGGGGGCCCCATGAGTTGTCAGTCCGCCCCTGCTTTACATATATATTGTACCGTCACATCAGTCCCTAACCCTCAAGAGGTCCCTAACTCACATTCATACATACACATACTAGGGCAAATTTAGACAGGAGCCAATTAACCTCCCAGCATGTCTTTGGAGCGTGAGAGGAAACTGGAGTACTCATTTCCACTATTACAGATGGCACCAGAACAAGGGACACTTCAAATTAAATCTAAGTAAAGTCATTTGTGCTGATATTTTTAAAAACATACTTTTCCCGAACTTCAGGCCATACAGGTCTAACAAAAAAACCCAAAAACCTAACGTATTCCTCAATCCACGCTATCCAGCACAGATCATCTAATCTCCCACTACAGTCATTGTTTTTTGACAGCCAGCCTCTCCAGCTGTTAAAATACCCAAACAGCGACTGCATCTAATTGGAGCCAGGTGGATGAGCTGCACTTTACCCACCCGCACCCCCCCCCCCCCCCCCCTCCTCCTCAACTGACCAGGAATTAATGCGCTCGTTTGATTCTTTAGGATTCAAGATATTTTTTTGCACTTACCAAACACATATAACAAAACACTTGTAAAAGAAGTTCATTATTCGGGTGTACATACAGTATTCTTTACAGTCAGGGCAAAAGTTACTTTACAGCAAATGGCGCAAAAATGTCCAATATGCGCTTACTGGGGTTTCTATATAAAATACGCAAGCTGTCATTCTTCAGTGAGGACACTAGGGAGCAGCAAAGCACCCTACATCCAACAAAAACCACGGATTTGTAAAATATTGCCAGTCCTGATCAGTGAAAACACACTGCAGTTGTTCCCTTCTGTATGGTGCCGGCGTTCAAATGCGGCAAGCTGCCTCCAATTTGATTTGAGTTTTTCTTGACAAAAGAGCTGTTAGAGCCGCTATCTGATGTACACATTGAAGGTTTTATTTAACAGGGAAGAGCAAAGTGCGGAAACCAACAGCAACTGATCTGATCTCTGTCTTGAGATCTGTAGATGGCAGAATTCCATTAGTTTACAACGTGAGTTATTGCACTTTGCTTGTCATTGTCATACTACCGGACCTCACACAGCTTTGACAATGACCTTGGGCCTTCCTTATCCAAATTTCTGTAATTTCACCTGCCCCCAACTACATCACTAACCTGGTCTCAAAATATCTACCAAACCGCTCTCTTCGATCCTCCCAAGACCTTCTGCTCTCTAGTTCCTGTGTCACCTCCTCTCATGCTCGCCTCCAGGACTTCTCCTGAGCTTCTCCCATCCTATGGAACTCTCTACCCCAATCTCTCTATCTCCTAGTCTATCCATCTTTAGACGATCCCTGAAAACCTTTCTCTTTAAAGAAGCCTATCCTGCGTCTAACTAATAAACTGACTTTTATTTCCTCCGTCAGCTCATCTCCCCCCCAAGCTATTACCTTTTTTATCCCTCAACCCTTCCTCCTAGATTGTAAGCTCTCAGGATCAGGGCCCTCTGTTTCCTCTTGTACCA